CGCTTGCCAAGGAGTTTGCGAAGCATGATATCGAGGCAAGTCAGAATTGATCATTTGAATCTTTGACAATAGACTAATTATCTTTTACCAGACCCTGTTCATTGAGTCGTGGTGTGACGACGAACGCATCATTGAAGAGAATGTTCGCAGAGTCAAGATCTCCTCCCCTGATGTGAGTCTCATGTATATATTGGCATTGAATGGAAACTGACAAACTATGCTAGTACGTGTCGTGGAAATCAGAAGATGCCGTGAAGCATTACTTGAACCGTATCTATTCTCGGATCCCCCAATTCCAGACCATGGAGGAAAAGGACTTGAACTTTATCAAGGTACGCGCAATTGATTCTTTCCTATTCCCATTACTCACCAAATACAGATGATCAACGCCGGCGAGAGATTGATTGTCAACAATCGAAGCTTCGGTTATCTCTCTAACCGTATCGTCTTCTATCTTCTAAATCTCCATATCAAATCGAGACGCACGTACTTCGCTCGGGTAGGTCACCTACAGTCCATATTGTACGATGCAAAAAACCTGACATTTTACCTAGGCTGGCGTTTCGCTAGACGCAGGTTCATACAAAGCCGATACTTCGCTATCGGATCAGGGGGAAGACTACGCCAAGAAAATGACGGCACGTCTTCTAGCTCACCGGGAAGAAGAAAAGCAAGCAATGATTGAACGAGGAGAGACTGGCTATGAGTCAAGGCCCTTGAAGGTTTGGACTTCCACACGCCGCAGAACAGTGGAAACCGCAAAGTACTTCCATGAAAACGGATATAAAGTCCGACAGAGGTCCCAATTGAGCCAACTGAACCCTGGTGTTTGTGAGAAGATGTCTGAGGATCGCATCCGAGCAGAGTTTGGTGACGAGGTTGCTAAGCACGAGCTTGATCCCTACCACCACCGTTATCCACGGGCAGAGGTAGGCCTTGACCAACCCCCCTCAAAGTGTGTAGCTGCTGACCATTTGCACTAGTCCTATCATGACTTGGCTGTTCGCCTCGAGCCAATTATTCTTGAATTGGAGAGGGAGCAAACCGATCTGCTCATCATTGCACACGAGAGTGTCTTGAGGGTTTTGTATGGCTATCTCATGGCCTGCAATGCTGCAGACATTCCGTTCCTTGAATTCCCTCGCGATGAGATCATTGAGGTAAATTGGACTTTGGGTTGGATTAATATCTATGGTTAATTGACACTATTGCAGATCCTTCCCGAGAGCTATCAGAACGAGGCACAGCGGATCCATATCCCCGACCTCCCCGAAGAGATTATTCCGGCCTCTCCAGAGGATTTGAAGATCCCAGTGCCCCCAAGTGGGATGGTATCACCGGCGCAAGGGCTTGGTAGCCCAGATGGTCAAGTAACCCCACAGAGTGGTCATCGAACACCCAGTGGAATCCGAACACCGCGTGAGCGCGAACGGATCTCACAACAGCATGTTGAAGATGTGGTCTAGGTAAAAGTCCACGCTTTATGTTGCCCTCATATTCTTCCAGCCCACTTCGAATTAAGTTTCTTTTTTGTCTTAATTGCGTTGATAATATCAATACAATCCATCATGTTTAACCACCATGTAAAGTTGAGACAAAAACAATGTTATCTCCTTGTTGAAGTTCATATGTCTCTTCGCCTTCGAGTTCCCAATCGGCATCGTTGATGAGGACGAGAATTCCTGGTCGTCTGTCGAACCATTAATACTGTTCAAACCCCCGAAGTTATGTTGACATACACATTGTCCTCCATGATGAACATGTCTATCCTTTGATCCTTCATGAGGTTGTCGACCAGGTATTTAAGCAGGTATGAGATGTTTGGCCGGCTGCCGTCCTCTAAACGAGCAGGCAGAACAACCTTATGCTTACGCTCATTCCCGAATAGCAATTCTAAGCCGCCGCTATCGAGATCAATTATCAGCGGAGCTTGATCAACTGAAGGAAAGATTTGACGTACGTAAACTCGACGGTGATAGGGATGGGGAACTCTCCCTGGCCCGCATTTGAAGTATCAGCCATGGCGTTGTAGACAAAGGTGAATATAGAGCATATAGGAGTTATCTCTGCTTGTTGAGAAGAATGTAAAGAGATCACAAGTCGAGTCTGTTGAGAAGATGGAGGGGCTAGGCGGAGACACCTCTTATCGATAAGCCCCAATTTTCCCGCAGTTTCTTTGCGGCTTTTCTCCAATTGATTCCCCCAGTACAGCAGCACAGACAGACAAAGGGTTCATAAGCCCTCATAGTACTCTATGGTCGCCGTCGACACAGAATATATCAGCGTGGGGGAAATCGGCACCCTGGTGCCGCGGATTGGGATGTGCAGACAGGCGTGCTCGCCTTCGGTGCGGACAACAATGTCGCCTTATGGGATCCTCTAGTAGGTCTATTGAGAACAATTGCGCATTGATAACGACAAGCTGACACTTAACCAAGTACAAGAATGATCGTGGCATCCATGCTCTGCTTGTGGGGCATACCGACAAAGTCAGCGTCGTTCGATTTTATACATGCCCCGCCTCAGGAACGAGATTTATCGTCACCGGCTCCGTCGACCGCACAATACGGGTATGGAAAAAAGACGATGCCGATCCCCACAACTATGTCCTTGCGTCTACCCTTGAGGGTCACACGGGCTCCGTGAATGCGATTGCTGTCGCCGATGGAACGGATATCATCGCATCTGGAGCGGCTGATGGGACGGTCCGGACCTGGAGAATAAATGCACAGGACGGATTGAAATGCGAGCCACTTGAAACGATCACAATGGTACCAATGTTCTTCCCACTATCTCTATCATTGCAGGGACTTGAAGGCGACTCGGACAAGCCATTGGTGTTGGCCGTTGCAGGTACAACGACCAAGGTTCATATGTACGTCTCGGAAACCTCCATCGGCAAGCCAGAATTCAAGCACCGGGCCGTACTTGGGGGACATGAAGCCTGGATTAAGGCTCTTGCGTTCACTCAGGACAAGCAGAGCAACGGCGATATCCTGCTAGCGTCTGCAAGTCAAGACAGATACATCCGTCTCTGGCGACTTCGTCGGGGTGAAGCAAGTGTACCTGCTCCAATAGACGATACAGATCCTCTGCTTGGAGGAATGGAGCCTACGCTATCGAACAAAGCCCATGAGTTTAAGGCTGCAGGATCGAAATACTCAATTACTTTCGAGGCTCTTCTCTTTGGGCATGAAGATTGGATTTATACTATTGCGTGGAATCCTGATTCGAAGCGGCAGCAACTTCTTTCGGCATCGGCTGATAATACCATCACAATTTGGGAACAAGACCAAGCATCAGGCGTCTGGATGTCCACAGAGAGAATGGGAGAGATCAGTGTCCAAAAAGGATCTACCACGGCGACTGGTAGTGCAGGTGGCTTCTGGATTGGGCTCTGGTCACCAGATGGGAGGCAGGTGGTAAGTCTTGGCCGGACAGGAAGTTGGAGAGTTTGGCGACTTGAGTCCGACTCGGATATTTGGGTACAGAGGTTTGGTATTTCGGGTCATGTGCGCTCCGCGAACGGTGTACAATGGGAGCCCACTGGAGGCTACCTGCTTTCAACGAGTTCAGACCAAACCACGCGGCTTCATGCAAAGTGGGTACGGGGAAATACAGGTTCATGGCATGAATTTTCCCGCCCTCAGATTCATGGGTACGATTTGAACTGTGTCGATACTCTGGGTCCCTCACAGTTCGTGACTGGTGCAGAGGAGAAGCTCTTGCGTGTGTTCAACGAGCCCAAACAAATTGCCCAGTTGCTCGAGAGACTCACTGGGTTCAAACAATCGAATGATCAGGACCTCCCAGACACTGCTGAGATCCCAGTGCTGGGTCTTTCGAACAAGGCACTTGGAGATGAGGCACCAGTGGAAGAGGACGGGGAAAAAGCCCCAACTGAGGCGCCAGTCGCCTCTGCCTTGCTAGCTGCCAACCACCCGCCGCTGGAGGACCAGTTGTCTCGTTACACCTTGTGGCCGGAGCATGAAAAGCTCTATGGCCATGGTTATGAGATATCAGCAGTGGCAGTAAGCCATGACCGTAGGCTCATTGCTACTGCCTGCAAGGCCAGCTCGATTGACCATGCGGTAATTCGCCTCTACGATACGTCAGACTGGCATGAGATCAAGCCTTCTCTCACTGCGCACTCGTTGACCATCACGGACCTCTCATTCTCGAGTGACGATCGTTATCTTCTCAGTGTTGGACGAGATCGCCAATGGGCGGTCTTCCAGCGGAGCGATACAGACCCAACTACCTTTACAAACTTTAGCTTGAACCCTAAGGGTCACTCTCGAATGATCCTAGGTGCGGCCTGGGCCCCAGCTACAACAGACTATGTCTTTGCTACGGCAGGACGTGACAAATCTGTGAAGATCTGGCCAAAGTCTGAAGACACTTTCGTTTGCAAAACGACCGTGGCCCTGACATCGGCCGTCTCAGCAATTGCTTTCTTGCCCACAATATACAAAGGCACATACGTTATTGCTGTCGGCGAGGATAATGGTGTCATCTCCATCCACCGGATTGCTGCTGATACCCTCGAAGCACAGCACGTCGTGACCATTGACAAGGAGGTCTCGCCCTCAAAGACGATTACTCAATTATCATGGCGACCAGTGCCGGCTGCAGAGGATAGCAGGGATCGGTTCGAATTGGCGGTGGCAAGTGAAGACACGTCCACACGGATATATGCTATCTCGAACATGCTCTCATGATTTATACGAGAACCAAAATAGTTTTACCTAGGCAGCCGCCCTTTATGAGTCATGATGGTTGAGATATCTTTTTAATGTCTTTGTAGATAGATGTGCCTTCGGTAATCCTTTGAGATCTTTTGAGATGTCTGTAAATGTCTATTTAATATCAGACGCAAACCAATGTACGATTCCTACAAACTATCGAAATATATGTTGTACGTGGGAAGTGAAGGAACATCATGCAAGGTCATTAAATTACTCCAAGGTGAAAAAAGAACATCGTATGCCCTTGAGAAACTAAGACTCCTTCTTGACCTCATCATCACTACCAGATTCTTTATAGGGGCCCTGGGTGGTTTCCTCCTGTTTTGGTTCGTCCCCAATCAGGAGATTCTCTACGAAGTCGGCGCTTCCCTCTCCCCTAATTTTCTCTAGGAACCGAAGGAGAAGCTCTGATTCGGACCGAGAGACCTGCACTAATATCGAAAGCAGGTCAGGCTCCACACTAGGGCTACCCCGAGTAGCGGTAATGGTGCCCACTAGAATTACCTACAAGTTAGCATATGTCCTTTGAATAATGTTTAGAGTAAGCCCTATAGATGTTGGGGGTGGGCTTGAGCTATAAATGCACGATTCAAACATCGTCACGTTGAATCGACAGATCATCTCAGTAACAGGTACAGGCCGAACACCCAGGCTAAACCCATAAGCTGAACCCATAGAATGCAACCGCAGGACGAGCCTACAGCTCAAACCAGAAAGAATTGAGAAGGTTCACATACCAGACTGGATGGAGGGAGAAGGGGGAGGAGGGAGGTTGTTGCGGGCTAAGTACACACTGTCAGGACATGTCTCAATAGCTCTTGGTACCATCCACTGATCAAGTGGTATCAAGTGACTGATTCCGCTTGTTTCAATGTCGATTGCAAGTCAAACCACATATTCCAAGGAATCCGGCCCGAGGTAGGGTTGGGTGTATGAAGAATACATACCTGTGCGATTTTGGCCACCACGGTAGCTACGATGAGTCTTCTTGTGGGGGTTGGTCTTCTGATTCTATCAAAGACTCATTAATAAGATGACTCCTAGAATGTCCTATAGGGTCGCTTTACCTGGGAGGGCTTGTATGCCGCCATCATGGAGATGTTGTTGGCCATGGCCGTGTCTCTCAGACACGCAGCCCAGCGATGGCACTCCTCCTGGGTGTGGCCTTCCATCTCACAGAATGTGCACCATTGCTATTTTTCAATTAGTCAGTCTATGTCGACATTACCTCCTTTGGTAGGGGATAAACAGACGCTTCAATACGGTTCAACGCGACAAAAACCTTGTGACTTGGTTTCACTTACTGCTACTCTTTTTTTGCCCTTGTCAGGCATTGTGGCTTCCCTGAAATAAGAAAAGACAAAACGCAAAGAAGCCAGCCTTGAGAGGGTCCGGGGTTGTTCTGGTCTTGGGTGGTGTGTGTGCGAGAGAGAGAGAGAGAGAGAGAGAGAGAGAGAGAATAGAGATAGAAGAGAGAGAGAGAGAGGAAGGAGAGAAAGAAATAAAGAGACAAGGACCGCCTTCACATTCTAATGTGGCAGGCAAACACACACTTTATGGCTTTACAAGGTCTATTCAAACATTTTGGAAGGCATTTGCGAAGACATCTATGAAAACAAAGTGGAATCAATGGAATCAAAGTACATAACGTCTATAGTATCTTGTTAGACCGACCTGATATTTAGATTATAGGTATGCTTGTACCTATTTTATATCTCATGACTCAATATCATAGATCAGATATCAGTTCGAACTACCAAGTGAGGACAATGCCCACACGTATATATTCTCGGATATACTCTCATGATTTGTATAGAAAGAAACATATATCTAGCCTGAGTTGTGATGTTGAAAACTCCCAAATGTTGAATAGACCCTGTAGATGCAGATGCCAACCTATAAACCCCGTGTATGCCTTGTGGTTGAACCCAATTGTTGTTGAATGGCACGTTAAATGACTCCCGACATCAGTGCTAGCATGCAAAGAAAGAAAAAAACAGGAAAGAAAACAGGAAAAATAAGAAAAGATCAAATATCTTTCTTCTCAGTCGTGTTTTTCCAGTCCGTAACCTCCAATACCCTCAAGGGACTGATAGGTCTTGGCCTGATTACCACGATCATTCCGGGGACCTCTGGCCTGCATATCCTCCTTGAGCCACTTAAGAACCAGCTCTCCAAGACGACTATTCTCCGAAGTCCACGCGGGAACTTCCTCATGGAACGACTCAACACTACCCAGCGCTTTGACCTTGCCCAAGTGCATGTGGGCCAAATGGGTAGGCCACTGGGCGAGGTTATCCAAGATATGGGTAGCATAAACAATAGTGCAGGCGCGGGTCTCAGTCTCTCGCTTTAGGAAAGCTAAGAAATTGCTCCTGGATAAAAGGTCCAAGTCGACAGTTATCTCGTCGAGCAGTAGAACCTGCCACGGCCGCAGCAAGCCCATGGCCAGCTGCACGCGGCGGCGTTCTCCATCCGAGACGGCATGCATACGCCAGCGCAGATCAACATCGAGGATATCGATCAGCTCGTCCCGGCGCTCTGGATAAGCATTTCCGCCGACAGAGGCGAGAAGCGTCGGCACATCGATGTCTGTGCGGACGATGCTGTTCAACACCCACTCGACTCCCAGGTACGTTACGCCATCTAGGCTGTCCTTGAAGGGGTCCTTGCCGCCAATGGCGATAGTGTTATTGGGTGCAAGGCGCTTCCCTGATAGGAGGCGGAGGAGGGTGGTTTTCCCCGCTCCATTTGCTGTGTTTTGGTTAGTCGTCGAGATTAGTCTGAAATGGAGATGAATTTGACTTACCGCCGATCAGTAGGGTGCGGCTTCCAGCTGGTAAGCTCATGCTTACGTTCTCCAGGCCACTGGAGCCATCTTGGAACTTGTACGAGAGGTTCCGTACCTCAATGGATGGGGGAGTGGAATTGGTATCCGCCATGACGAATGTGTGAGAAAAAAAGCACAGAGAGAAAAGCGAATTCGACAAGTTCGAAAAGAAGGAGATAAAATGAAGCAGACAAGGCTGTCAATCCAGATTTATCTAGACTGCTTTGATGTTAGCGCTCATTGTAAGATGAGTCGACCCCGAGGGGTTGGGGACGCCATGGATGAGGTAACCCGCTTGATAACCGATAACAACTTTTTCCCCCACGTCGTTGCAAGGAGCATCGCGGTATGCTGTCGGCTCTACGATCTATTTGGCACGGTCAAACAATCATGAATCCACTGATAGCTGTCGTGGGCGCCACAGGCACAGGCAAGTCAAAGGTAATGACTCCAAGTACCGCCCGCACTTCCTCCGAACACAATGACTGATAGCTGTAGACAGCTTGCAGTGGACTTGGCCTCTCGATTCAATGGTGAAATCATCAATGGCGACGCAATGCAGATGTACCGCGGTTTGCCGATCATAACGAACCAGATCCCGATAGAGGAACGGAACGGCATCCCTCATCACCTCCTCAGTTGTATCGACTTAGACGCGGAAGCATGGCGCATAGGACTGTTCAAGCGAGAAGCCCTGAGAGTCATTGAAGACATCCACGCCCGTGGCAAGGTCCCCATACTTGTTGGTGGCACCCACTATTATACCCAAGCAGTGCTGTTTAAAGAACAGCTTGTGGGCGAGGGGGTGGACGACGAAGGCGAGCGGGAACAGCTCATGGAGTTCAGCACAACCTCGAATAAATGGCCGATTCTGGATTCGTCGCCTGAAGTTGTCTTGGAGAAGCTGCGCGAGGTGGATCCCGTTATGGCTGCGCGATGGCACCCGAGAGATGCACGGAAAATCCGGCGGTCATTAGAAATCTATTTTCAGACAGGGCGGCGAGCATCGGAGATTTATAAAGAGCAATTCTCTCAAAAGAGAAAGGCGATAGATCAGGAGGAAGGGCTGCTACGGTTCGAGAATACATTGGTATTTTGGGTCCATGCCGAGAAGGAGGTCCTCAACGCACGCCTGGATGCGCGCGTCGATGACATGGTCAAGCAGGGCTTGATGACCGAGGCGGAGAAGATGTCGAACTACTTGCAGGGGAAAGCCTCGCAGGGCATTGAAGTTGACCAAACACGGGGAGTCTGGGTGTCCATTGGATTCAAGGAATTGGCGCCATACTTCAAGGCTATCCGCGACGGGGAAGCAAGCGAGAAAGAAATCGAAGATCTCAAACGAAACTCTCTTGAATTAATTCGGATCGCCACACGACAGTACGGAACATCGCAGGTCAAATGGATCCGCAATAAACTCTGGCAAGCACTCACAGAAGTCGGAGAGACACGTCGTCTTTATCTCCTAGACAGTTCCAATGTCAGCGACTGGAGAAAGTGCATCACTGAGCCGTCCGAAGAGATTATGCAACTGATGCAGCAAAATAAGCCGACCCCCGATCCCAAATCGCTTTCTCAGTTAGCAACGGCGGAGTTCAGCGCGAAGGAAGCCCAGGAAAAGCGTGTGCAGGCAGATCCAATCGGGAAGTGCTATACCTGCGACGTGTGCCAGAAGACAATGGCATCTGAGGACCAGTGGCATATTCATCTGAATAGTCATCAGCATAAAAGGGGACTCAAGTCTGCAAGGAAGAGGGCACAGCGAGATGAATATTTCCGAAAGAAGGAATTGGAAGCGCAGGGGATCCAGGCCCCTGAAACCGAACCTGGGTCATGAGCTATCGCATTGCATAGTCAAAGATATTTAAGGACATAGAAATACCCAAAAGTCTTCTGCTATTTCAACAGCCAGGGAAGATCTTCCGTGTAAAGCTAGGTGCAGGTAGTCGCTTGGGGGATCCCTCGGACTGCCGCTCGTCTCGTAAGGTCAATGGATGTGTCTGTGCAATATTTCATTTATTGCAATGATACCCAAGCAATGAAATACATTAGTACTAACTATCATACATTAGACCTTCCAATCACGAACTCGCATTGGTCGTGGTCGATCGCCAGGCCTTGAAAGCAGGTGAGATAATATCGCCATGTCCTTGCTCCTCAACCTGATAGACCTCGATGACCGGAGACTTTTCCTTCTTCCGAATTCTCCACGTCCCTTCCTGGTTGATAGTCTGCTTCAGCCCTAGGAGGTGTGTCAGTGCTGCTATGACTTCACGAAAAAGAACACTCACACTCCAAGAATGCACCAGTAAAATTGATGCAGACGTTTCCATCCCAAGAACGCCGGCCGACGTTCAACACTTTCCCGGGTATGCTAGCTGTATCTAGCTCCTCCAAACTATGGCAAATGCCATTCTCATCACGGAATCCCACGATAATCTTAGGCACACCGAGCAGGAATGACTGTGCCCAAAACTTGAGCAATTTCCGCTCATACTTGATCATATCACGTTCATTGCGGATCTGAGCTGATGTCTTCAGTTCAACCCAGTTGATGGGGCTTTCTTTTCGCGATGGCTTGCTGTCCCAGACTAGAACAGAAGTTAGATTTAGGTATAGTCAAGAGAATCAAGGTAAACATACTGGCATCAACCTCTCCACCAAGAATCATACGCACGTTACCGATCCCGGTGCGAACAACTGAGCAATATTGTGCTGCGTTATTGACGACTTCTTTCTGGCGGCCTTCGATCTCTTCACGGGTTGATTCATCCCACGTCTTCGGAAGTACAGCCAGCTTTTCGAATTTATAGCCTAGGGTTGTTAGTCTATACATATTTCTATGAGTTGTTTGACACACCCCAATACATCATGAGTTCCTGCGGTGCCATTCCAGGTGGCGATCCTCGCTTGCGTTGGATCTCTTTCTGTTGGTTTTTGTATTCGTTGTTTTCCTCAATGAATCTAGAACAAGTCAACACCTTATATAGTGAACTTGCTAGCTAGATATACACACATGGTGCCCTTTGATAGATGTTAGATCATGGAAGCTAGACAGTCTTGTTGAGACTGATATCGTACCTGGAAACAAGTTGCATTCATCTCGAAGCTAGAGATAGCCTGGGATTAGAGAAACAGCACGTTATGTTTGGAATATATTATGGTTACAAACCCATTCATATTATCAAAGGGAGCGGTTAGAATCTGCATATAAAGGTGAGAATTTGGTTCCAAATCAGATGATAGTCCGCGATAGACTTCAATTCAACACACCTTGGTCATCATTCCTCTCCATGTGACGATGTCTACATCACACTTCTTCTCTGTTTCTTTCTCATGAGCAACAAGGGTATCAAGTAAAGCATCTAAGTGCTCATCCGGGACATCATTGAGCTTCTGGAATGTCTCATAGCCTGTGTTCAGGTCTGCAGGGAGAGCCGGCGTGTAGTAGTAGGCCATGGACGAATCGCCCAGAGAAAAACGACGATTTTCATCATAAGAGAAGCAAGCAATTTCCTAGCAGCAGGTGAGCGATTCGTTTTGATTTGTTTGACATAGCACTTGGTCTTTGGCTTACCTTCGGTCTCCGGATAGAGGTATTTGCGCCGCCGAAGCGGTGCAGGGGCTGGATATTAAAAGTGGAACGGTTCATGATGAATTTGGCGCACTATTGACTGATGGACATGGCTGAATCAAGAAGAGCGATTGCTTGGTCCTTGGTATGGATTGTCGCGACTAGCTAGGTAGCTGTATAGTCGTTAGGGATGCCCGTAATGGCGTGGTATCATCGTAATATCGCCGGAAACAAGGGGCCAATAAAACGAACAGAGTCCAAATAGCAGAAATAGCAGATTCCACGTAAAAACAAAAGCAGTTTCAGCTACTAAGCAACCATAAGGTATTTCTGAGGAGATGACGGAGATGTCATGTTCTCCAGGGCCCTGGGCGAACTGCCGTGTCCCCACCAAATCTCAACCAACTCCCCGCGAACGTTCTTGCATTGCGCACTCTGCTTGATAGGGTCCTCGATTCTACTTTTCTTTGATCTACTCCCTCAGCGCTTCCTTTTAGTCGACCATGTCATCCCGGATTGATAAGGTCATCGCCCGCCAGCGAGAAAAGTGAGAATCCATAACCACCTTGGACTTCAAAAGATCCGGTTCTGACTTATGTCGTTGTCTGTAGGATTGCTGATGGCGCCTACTACGAAGCTCACCAACAACTACGTGTTATTGCTGCCCGGTATATCAAGCAGTCCAACTACGATGCTGCAGCGGAGATCCTGGCTGGTGGCGCGAAGGAGCTATTGAAAGCTGGTTCTCGGCAGGGTGCCTCGGCCAGTGGTGGGGACCTGGCCATCATGTTGGTGCTTGAAGTATACAACAAAGCCGAATGGGAGATCTCAGGCGGTAATGATGATGCAGAGGGTCGGGCTCGGAAGAGTGAGTCTATCAAGTATCTTTTTACTACTGGGGGTTGATTACTGCAGCTTGGTGCTTCAGGTTACCCCAGTAGCTATTACAGGCCTAGCATTGCTAACTTGTATATCTTTGTTCTTCAGAGCGCCTGATCGAGTTGCTACGCGAATTCCCGTCAGATGAACCTACACGAAAGAGGTTCATCCAAGAAATAATTGGATGGAGTGCAAAGTTCGGACCACTGGAACGAGGAGATGCCGATTTACATCATGCTGTTGGTTCAGTATACGCCGAAGGTGAGTGATGTCGGAGCGCAATGTTTGGTGCATTCTAATCTAGTGCCTCAGATAACGAGCCATACGATGCCGAGAAACATCTCATTCTAGGAACCTCCGAATCAGCCGAGACTCTCGCAAAGCTCGAGTATGAATGGTACACCAACGATGAGCCACACACCGCAGCGATCTATGCGTCACGCGCAGTTTTCCCATACCTCCTCACCGGAAATCTCCGCAGCGCGAATAAAGCCTTGCTTATTTTCACTTCGCGGCTTTCAGCGGCTAATCCTCAGCTAGGTGTGCAGGAAGTCAGCAGCGCCAGCTCCGACGCCCGGGTGTTCCCTGCCCTTCCTTTGGTAAACTTCATCACCATGTTGCTGTTGGCCATCCAGCGCGGAAGTGCCGATCTCTTCCGA